TAAAGAATTAATGGATTTATTTTTAATCCAACTTTTTTTTTCTTTCTTTTTTTTTTTTTTTTTATTATTACATTAAACATTATTTCTAGTGGTTACCCATGTTTGAAATAGACCCCCATTTTTATTTTAAGCAGAATGCATTACATCTATCAGCCTATGCACTATAGAAATCTTAATAAAGACAATGCTGAAGAGCACTTTTTCTTTAAGATTTCTCAAGTGACTGTTTAAAATAAAAAATGCCTGTTTCAAAGATTGGTATCAACTACAATAATGTTTGAAGTAATAAAAATGTCAGATTAAAAATAAATCCATTGTTTAGAAATATATATGAAAAATATTGATGGGTCTTTACTTATATTTGCTAATATTGTCTGGAATGATTTTAATTGCATGTTGTTCTTAAGCAATTAAACTTTTCAACATTACCATTGTACAAACTCTCATACAGGAAATTGTTCATCTTTGGACTCCATCAATTAATATCATCAAGTGGGTGTTTCTTATGTAGATGCGAGAGACTTCTTTCTTTTACTTTTTTTTATCTCTGGTGGGTTGCTTATATATCGTGTCATCTAGTCGTCCCATGTATGCACATTCTGATTGCAGCTGGGTCAACCACCTGCTTACATGTTAGGTGCAGTCACTGACATCCTATGAGGTCACCTTCCAGGTTAACCCATTTGATGCACCTGGCTTCTCTGGTGTTGTTGTGGGACACTGGAATTTGGTAAGAAGAAGAAAGACTAGAAAGAGGAATGGAACAGAATCCTGCACGTGAGGAGATTAGGGGGTGAAGAAGAGGTTGCACAGACCATCATCCTCAGTAACTTTACTCTAGAGGACCAAATTCCAGTGGCAAGGTAGACACAATACGACCTGTGGTCCAAAAGAGCTGCAACATCAACCAGAACTTCAGTTAAAAGTTGGAGACTGCCTGATGCCAAGGTGGGCTTAAGGTAAAGGAGATGCCAACAAAAACTGTCAGGTCCTCTCTTTGGAATGCTATTTTTGTGTGTACATGTACAAAGGTATGTCCTCTAGATCCACTCAGCTCAGAGATAACAGGCTCTCCTATATGCAATGCTCCTATGCTCTGGTGTAACATTAAATGCAAGCTCTATTTTGGTATTTACTAGGGTGAGCCCAGTACATATTGGGGTCATTGTATATCAACTTCTCTTAGAACAAAAGTTCTATATTGATTTAAGACAATGTGAGATTTCCTGGTGTGAATCATATACTAAACATTAATGTTTTTGAGGTTAAGCATTGTTAATTTTTAATTTGCGTCTATTTTCACCTTAGATTTTATTATATGAAGCATTTTCAACCATCAATATTAATTTTTGACTAGTGAAGCTATAGTTGCTTTTAGCAGTAACTCTAAGCTTTCAAAATCAGACCTGAAATACTTCAGTTTATACTTATAACCTATTGATGAAATCTCTTTATATTTTTAATATCTAAATTTTATTGCCATTATCACCTCAAAAGTGCTATCAACTATTTTTAAGGTTTTGTTTATCATTTTTGTGTGCTTAATCTATAGATTGATATATTTTAACCACAATTCCTATTCATACCTACCTATAGATGTATTTTTGAAATAACAGTAGCTGACATTGAATAAACACTGCAATTGTTGTAAATTTATCTACTCAAAGTGTAAATATTTTAGTGATTAATAAAACATCTATCAACCAATGAATTTAACAATCAGTCGGTGTCTCGGTCTTCCTTTTATAACTGAAGAGATCCTTACAACTTAAAAAAAAAATATTAGCAAGATTCAGTAAGATATTTGTGAAATTTTTCATGGAATTTTATCTTTTTCATATTATTAAAAAATAACAATTTGTCTTTAATACCAATTATATAAAGGAATGTTACAAGTACAGGAGTAGATATTTACTAAGTTTAATTGAAATTATACTATAGTAGCATATTACCTGATAAAAATTGAAGATGCTAATAATAATTCACAATCATCACTATATGCTAGAGGCTCTCAGTAAATTTCCAATTGTTGATATTTATTTCCCTATTCCCAAATGTTTGAAGGTCATGTTTGTTTTAAATTCTATTTGTTTTTATTTTCCGTTTACTTGTGAATGTCTTATTTTTGTACATGTTTTCATATGTATCTGTCTTGATGGAGGTATTTACATGCACATCTGCACATTTTTACTGTTGTTGTTATCATTATTATAATAGATTAAGTAATGCCATCTCTGGCAGAATATCTAAAACACATGTCAGCTGCAACATTATTTAGTAATAGTTTAGCATTTTGGATCCACAAATATTAAAAGGTTGACCTTGTTTGAGAATATCTAAATTTTAGATGTTGTTGGATGGCATTAGGAGAGTTTTTTTTTGTTGTTTTTTTTTATTCAAAAAGGTCACTTGATTCTACTAGGATAGCTCTCCTAGCAGCTTACATTTAAAAAGAAAATTGGCATATTTTTGTTTCAATGAATTCTTGCTACACACACACACACTCAGTGGCTGGCCACTTGTATCTGAGGATGCCCGTCTACTGGGGCGGCTAGCCAATCTCTATTGCAGACATCTAATTGGGCACATTTGTGTTTGTTCAACACTCAGAGCGCCCACCTGTGGTTTATACTACAACTATACTGGGCAGGCCTTAGTTGCAGTTTGTGGTATGAGCGTGTGTGATCAACAGTCTGAGCAAGGCTAGTGTGCTCAAACTTTCGGTCACGATGACTTGTGATTTCATGCTTGCACAGTGTACCCAATTTCACTCACAAGGCTTGGATTAACCTGTGGTATGGTTTTCAGGTGCTTTCTAAAGGTGCTGCACACTGGGATCGCTGCCTCCAGACTGATGATATCCAGAAGTTACCTTCCTGACAAATCAACACTGGTGAGATTTGAATCCGGGACTTGTGGTCAGGAAGCGAACATTCTAATGACTTGGGCACACGCACATACCTTCCCATTTGACAAACTAGAAATGCCACAAAGTACAACTTCACCAGACAACAATGGAATCACCTAAATGACCTAAAATTGAACAAAAAAATATTGTTATAAAAGAATCAGATAAAAGGAGGCACAGTTGTTATGGACACGGAACAGTATACAAGTATCATACAAAATATGCTACAGGACGATACCTATTAAGAAGAAGCCAGAGAATACCAACTTAACAAAATGATGAAAAAAAACTGAGGCTGTTTCACTTCTAAGGAACATGCCTGCCTTACAAACTTTAGATATAAAAAAAAAAAAATTTTAAGGACTACCTAAAATACACAAAAGTAAGCTAGTTAACAAAACCTGCAATACTACAAAAACTGGTTGCATGAATATACTCACCAACCAACCTAAAACTAAGGCCTATAATAGCAGGCCCAATTTGCGAGACGCACTGTCTAAGTAATTTTCTAGACATCCTATGGAAACTTTTTATCAAACACGTTTGGCGCTTCATCCAAGATGATCTAGATTTTCTGAATCATCTTTCCAATGAGATAAACCATAATACTTATATGGTTTCAATGCATGTTGTGAACTTAAATAGCAACATCCCACATGACTCTGGAATAGAGGCCATAAAATACTGGCTAGAAACGTTTTCCCATGAATCACCAAATCGTATCAAAGGAAATTTCATCATAGAAAGCCTTGAATTCATCCTAAAAAACAAAAAAAAAACCACTATTTCATGTTCAACGGAACAATCTACCGACAAAAATCATGAACAGCCATGGGGACAAAGATTGCACCAACCTATGCCAACCTAGTCATTGGATAGCATGAACTAAAAACCTATGAAAGAACCTCTGAAAATCTATGGGAATGACTTCAGTTGCAACATAAAAGAAAACTGGAAAAGATGGCTGTTTCATTGTGGAATGAAAGTCTGAATAAACTAAAGACATTCCAAGTATCCATTAATAATATAAATCCTAACATCCAATTCACTATGGAGTGCAGCAACAAAACTTCCCTTTTTTTTCTTTTCTTTTTTTCAGATATATTAATAACAAAAAACAAACACTAAATTAGAAACCAACATATATTTTAAACCTATTGACTCTTGACAATATTTTTACATCTTCCCAACCGAAACACATTTGTACCAACATCCCACTCAGCCAAGCGGATATGTACAACAGCCTCAAACACAACCATGAGAGACCACAGACATCAAGAGAAAATACCCCCAAAGTTTGATCAACAATACTATTGAAAAAGCAAAACAAATTAACATCCACACACTCCAAGAAACAAAAGAAAAAAAAGTCATCCTTATATCTTCACTTTCAACCCAAAGAACACAGAAATCTACACACATGGAACTAAATCTACCAATTCTACCAAAAGACAAAAAAATGAAAAGCTTATTACAAAATTCTCATTCATAAAAAGTAAACAACAACCAAAATCACTAAAAAAAAAAAAAAAAAAAAAAAAAAGATACTGACAAGTTCAAAAATGCAACTGACCCCTTTGTGGAGTATTGCAGGGCCACGATTTTCATTTCAAAGATGGATCAAAATTAAAAATGATTTCTCATGTGACTCGTGTGTGTGTGTGTATATATATATATATATATATATATATATATATATATATATATAACTGTGTAATAAAGATCTTTTCAGCTGTACTGGAGTAATACTTTTGGTAAATGTAAATTTCATGGCTGTCTTGTTTATTAAAGTACATTTGACAAAGAAGCAAGAAATAACTGACTACAGATTGACCAACTTCAACAGATTGTCAATTTTACATATTATTTTACCTGTGGTTAAAAAAAATAAAAATCAAAGTATTTAATTGTTCATTTAATCACAGAAAACCCCCCAAAACTAATAATAAACAAACAAAATTTGAGTTTTTGCAATTTATTGCTTATAACATATAATTTAAAAAAAACAAAACAAAAAAAAAAAACTTTTATATTTCTATTAAATTTTCTGTTATTTCTAATTTAACTTTTTTTTTTTTTCTCTTCCTTTTAGACAAGAGAAGCGCCAATGGGGGTGTGGGTTATTCTGTGGAGGTGCCATGTTATATGCGTGCCGCACAGTCATGCCATTGTGTGTGGTCTCACTGGCCAAAGAATTACATTGGGATAAAACAGAATCGGTTTGTAGTATTTATTTTCTTTACTTTTCTGACTGCAGACGTGAAGAACCTCTTAATTTTTTTCGTATTAATTTCAAAATAAGCTTTAACAATTGTCAGTACTTGTATACATCATTTGTCATTCTATATTTCCATAATGTAATTAAAACTGCAAGATTTCTAACTCTTGAACTCTGCAGAGACTTATTTAAGGAATCTGAGAGTTTATTTATAAAACTCATTGAGAAATGAAAAAGAGTCTTGAATGTGATAAAGACTTGATGCCAGTAACAATCTCTTCATTGTGATAAAGTTGAAGAATTCCATTAATATTTGTAATGTTAACATAAAATATTGATCTTGAACTAATTTTTCAACTGTAGTTGTTGTTGGTGAACTCGCAATTTCATCTGAATTCTAATGTACCTGTCTGTATAAATGGATTTTTCTGAATTTTGTTTAACAGAAACTTAAACTGTCTAAAATGCTTATCTTTTTTTTTTTTTTTTTTTTTCCCCTTCCTTATTTCCAGGGCACTGTTTTATCTTCGTTCTTTTGGGGTTATACTATGACTCAGTTCATTGGTGGTTACCTGAGTGATCGCATTGGGGGAGATGTCGTTCTTCCTATTGCTGCTGCATTTTGGTCACTCATTACGTTTTGGACACCTCAGCTTATTTATATAAGCAAAGACAAACAAGTCACACTCAATATTTTAGTTTTATCCCGGGTTTTACTGGGAATATTTCAAGGTCAGTACAAATAATCAAATAATGCCTTCTGGAAATCTTTTTACTTTTCTTTTGAGTTTCGAATAAAACAGGCTGGAATGATTGTTTTTGTTTGATTTTTTTTTTTTTTTTTTTTTGAGAAAAATCCAAAGAGAATTTTTTTTTCTTCCATCCCCTAGACTGAGCATTCTATCACAATTACTGTAATTATTAAAAATAAAATTTTGTTTATTCTAGCCACTCTATTTGAAACTAAAGTGTACTTGGTAGTCACTTGTTTGACTGAAGTAACGTCTTGTAAGTGTGTGTGATTGGTTTGTACAATAGTTTTTACAATTATAAATTTGCATAAATTATTATACAATAATGATGAAAATCATCAATACAAACTATTTAAGTTAATGTTACTAGCCTTTCTCAGGAGAAAGTGGACAAAGTTTTCATTTTTGCTCAACGGGGAAGAAATTACTTAATTTTATAAGTTTATTAGCTTTAATACTTGGGATGATAATGACTCTTTTGAATATAATAGATGATTAATTCCTTATAGGACATCATTTTCTAAATGAATTTAGCTTTCTCAAAAGAAGCACCAAAATTAAAAATAATCCCATCTGTAAATAAGTAACTGAAAACATTAAATGTTATGAAATGATCTTGAGATGTTATTAAAATGAATTTGAGTCAACTACAAATTCTTTTGTCATATTACAAGCTTTTTATGATAGAATTTAAAAATAACTGACCACTTCCTTTGAAAAAAACCCAAAAAAACAATGTTGATGTGAAGTGTTAAATTTATTTTAAGACGATACTTTGTTGATGAAAATTTATTTAAAGTTAAAAAAACTTGTAACATTTTGCTAGCAGTCTTTGTTCTGAAATTGAGGTGAAAAAAAAAACTTGATTTAATCTGTTGCTGATGTTTTATTAAAAAAAAGAATTGGCTAGTCAGTTCAACTTGAGGCATAGTTTTTTAGCATGGTTACTAACTTTCCATTTGCAATAACTGGTTAGAATCGAAACCTTTTTAATCTTACTTCACCAGTAATTGAATTGGGCTGCAGCATGATCGTGTATTTTGGGGAATAATTTTTGCTTGTGGGGTGTGGGGAAATACATATACCAAATTGTCTTGAAAAAGGAACAAAGAAAAAGTTTGCTCCAAGAAACGTCTCTCTCCTTCTACTTGAGTTATTTCTTGTTTCGAGACAAGGGAGACAACTCGTTGAGTTTTATCTTAATTATCTAATTTAGTGATGAAAATGATTCTTGATGCATGTATGTTGATTGGTAGAAAGAGGAAATCTGCTTAAAGGAAGTATTATTTCTTTTCCAATTGTAAAATGAATTCCCTTGTATCTTTTCAGGTTTTCATTTTCCTAGTTTTACAAGTATCATATCAAGGAAAGTGATTGAGCAAGAACGATCCTTAACATATAGTTTTGTATCTTCTGGCTCATTTCTTGGGTGAGTTTCAAACTTTTTTTCTTTTTTTTTTTTTTTTTCTTTTTTTTCTCGGCTAAAAAAGAAATTCCTGGAAAGGATAAATAATTCTTATGCCATCAATAATAAATAGTTTATGGACCAATTAAATCTATATTTTCCTTGATTTCTTTTACAGCACCCTGTTCACTGGGAGTATAGGCTCTTTGCTGTTAGATAACTATGGATGGCACAGTGCATTCTATTTTACAGGCAAGTCAGACTTTTTAAGTTCTATTTGCAAACAAGTTGTACAAATTCAATATGAGCCAGTCTTAAAACGGATTTCTCTTTAAATTACTGCTTCCTAAGCAAAGATATATCAAGACTTTGGTGACAATATTATCAACCACTAAGGTTTCTGTAGAAGCAAGTTGAATTTTATAAATACTCATTTTAGTTGGTACAGGATAATTTATATTGTTTGGGCTATTAGGTTTTGAATTTGTAAAATTTAGTTATGTTCTGAAAATTTTCATGTGAACCATAGCCAACAGTTTCGCTGAATGATAATTAAATTTTGAAGATTTATCTTTATTTGAACCACCCAGTGGAGGTGTAGATGGTGTAATGGCATAGTGGTTCAGAATGATAAGAGAGCAGAGTTCAAATTCCAGTCAAATTTGTTACATTTACTTATGAACCTTTGGGGAAAAATATTAATTCATCTCCTCATTTCAATTATGGGTTAAACAGGAGGGCTTGTATCTGGAAAAAAAATTGTTATCCTCACAAAATTTATTAATGTATTCACTTGCACACAAAAAAATTTCTTGCAACCCAAAATATGTTTTTGCTTTAAATGATCTGCAAATTGTTGGTAAGCCATAAAAAAAAAATCAATTGATTGAACCTCCTCATTGATCTGTTTCTCTCCAATAACAACTTAAAGGATGAATGTGTTTCATGACTCACAGGTTGAAAACGGGATTTGAACATGATATACACAAAATATTTAATAGGATGAAATTCCTGAAATTTTGTTCACACAGACATGTGAATTCAGTTTGTTATAAAGGAAGAATTAAAGAAAAGGACTTGTGTGTTAGTGTTGCTGTATTTATCGTCTTTTTATTTAAGCTGATCACAATGCATGCATGTATGTGTATTTAGGTGAGAATTCATGTGAAATTTTTAAAAAAATGATTTGAAATATTTTTTTTAAATATTGTTTTACAAATTTATACCATAAAATAGAGGCAGGTGTTTATTAGAAAATATCAGTGTACAGAAAACTTATGTTACTTGAGATTATTGACGTAAATTGTAGTTGAATCAAATGTAGTGGTAGTAAATTAGTGACTTTTCTTGTTTGATTTTATTTCTAATCATTGGAATGCTTAATGAATGTAGTGAATTTGGTTGGTTAATTGTTAGTTTCTTAAAAAAAAAAAAAATTCCAACAGACATAGTTTTATGATTTTACTGCTTTTCTTTTTTCCAGGAATATGTGGAATAATATGGCTACTACTTTTACGCTATTGTCTAATTTCGAAACATCGAGAAAAATATGTGGTGGTGTCTTTGGCAGATAATGTTGTGGCACCAGGGAAGACAGTTCCAAAAGATACATCTTCAGTACCTTGGTTAACTTTATTTACTAAGTGTGCATTTTGGTAAGTAGACCATAAATTTTTTTTTTTTTTGTGTGTGTGTGACTGGGGTAATTTTGTTAAACTTGGTTTATTTCATTAGACATTATTGTGGGATTGTCATCCATTAGTTTGTTTTTACATTTCTTGAAGGTTATGTTAAAAACAAACACAAATTTTCGGTTACTTGGAGTTTTTACATCTTGTTTTTAGCAATAAAACTGAAAATATACAACAGTAAATTAATACAATTGGCTTTTAATTGTATAATCTTTAAGACCTAGAATCCTATATTGATGAACAAGGAACTTTCCTTGTTTTTCTGTAAAGGAAGCATTATAATAATAATAAAAAAAAAATCTAAGGATTTTTTTCTGATTAATCCGTTTTCATGTTTCATATTCAAGAAAAATGTGAAAACATAATTGATGTTTCAATCCTTTTCACAAAATTAATTTTTGAATTTTTTCTTAAATTTTTTTCTTTTTTTTTAAATAAGGAAATAAAAAAAATTCTATGGATAAAACTTTGGATTGGTTAGATAATTGGCTTGATCCCTGTAGCGGGATCTGTGAAAGATAATGGTGCGGAACAGTTCAAATTTTAGCTTGGTTTGTTGTGTTCACTTTTGCACAAATGCCTTCTCCCTTCAGCTATGGATTAAATAGCAGGTTTGATTGGTTGCTATCCAAAATTAAAGAGCTCAGTCTAAGAGAAAGAATTCCAAACTGTAGAGACGGTGATAGGGAAACATCTCCATTCTCTTTGCCAAAATGGCAATTCAGTTAAAGAAAAGAAATACCTATCAAGTTTCTGTGAATAATCTAACATTTTTTTAAATGCAGTTGTTGTTGTGAAATATTTGAAATTGGGTTGTTTTTCACTAGCTTAATGGTTTCTTAATCTGGACGAGTAAACTATTTATATTATTTGGACTATTGTCCTCATCTTTGTTTCTATATTTATTACAATGTTTCAGCCGTTATACGCACAAGCCTTCTTCAGGTGGTTGGAATGTCAAATGCTCTAGTTCCACATGCCATGTTTTTAATGGATGTTAGTTATCTCCTGTTAATTCCTCTCTCCAAGTTCTTCACTGCCTTAACTGGGTATTGAACTCGCACTGTTTGGGTCCTGTAACTGGATTTAACCAACGCCTTTATCCACTGTGCCATGTGTCCTTGAGGATTATAAAGCTAATGTCTTCAACAACCTTTTTTTTACCAGAGCTCATATTGCAATTTTTGTTGTTGTTATTACTTTTCTCTGGCACTCCTTATTACTGGTTCCCATATTGTATTCATTTCTATACTTGGTTGGCTCATGAGATTTTTGTGGCCTAGGATATGTGCTGATTCCTTAAGTTTACAAAATCAAGTGAGTGAAATAAAGGGTTAAGTTCGACATTCCAACCACCTGAAGAAGGCTGGAGTGTACAACGGCCGAAACATAATAAATATGGCGACAAAGATGAGGACAATAGTCCGAATATAGACAGAAAATGTATTCCATTAAAATAATTATATAGTATATAAAAGTATTTTTTTCTTTTAATGTTTTGAATATCTCTTAAATTTTGTTAAAATTCTAATCTATATTTGTTTTAATTTTCAGGTCTCTCATAGTTGGCCATTTTTGTGAAAACAATGCATTTTTTGTGCTTCTGTCTTGGATGCCAACATATTTTCATGAAAGTTTCCCATCTGCAAAGGTAACAAAAACTTCTGAAATTCTTGTCTATAAAACTGATTATTGCAAACAAATTTGAGAGTCTGAACCTGAACCCCCCCCTCCCCCAGTCTTTTCTCTATGGACAAGGCATTACTTTCAGGTGTCATATTCATTAACCTTCTTGGTTCCCAAGCTATATTTAAATCCAGTTCTAAATAGGATATAGTCTTCATATTTTCTTGAATTCTGAGGAACTTTGTGTTCATGACTGAAAAAATTGTAATGCTCTCAATATAAAATTTATAAATTGTTTGTATGCAGACCATCAACTTTGTGGGAGATCTCAAGAAGTTTCTGTGAAACAAACCAAGAAGCCAGAATTAAATTTTTATTGCATTTATAAAAATTACAAGAAGTTATACAATAATCAATTTATATCGGCTGAATATCAAAACTGTTTAGTATTGTTTCTGTAATTTTAGTGGTTTGAATATATGATTCTAGTCTGAAATTTTCAAAAATCTTAGTTTGTTATATTTAAGAGAAGTAACTAAAGAGTTTTGTTTTTAATATTCAATCTCCTCAGTAGTCCTAGCATAAAATTAAACACCATATAGGAAGTCTTTGATCAGGAAAAAGCAGATATTAGGTTTAACACCAACTGTAATTGTGTGTTTGAGTAGATAAGTGTTGGTTAAATGTATGCAGTTTGGTGGTTATGAGTTCAATCTCTATATCCTACTTCAGTAGGATAATTTTTCTCAATATTCAAATAACAGGGAGTAGGATAGTTGCTTTAATAAAGTGGGGATCAGAAAATCATTCAAGAGGTCAGGAAGTGCAAAATTAATAAATGGTATGATTTTAACAGGTTTTCCTCAATAAAAAAAAATGAAAGAACCCCCCCCCCTCTATTAGGGACCTAAGTGTACGTTTATAAAAAAAACAACAACAAACGTCCATCAATAGATATTTTTGTATGTAATACTTTTCAGGGCACAGATATTACACTCTGATCTGAGGCATGAGGCCTTGGGGCAAAATGTTCCAGATGTAAATGTTGCTCTTTTCTTTTTTTTATGTCTATTACATTTATATGAGTATATTGTTCAATATTTAGAATATTTTATTATTCTTTAGAAACCTCTTCAGATATTAAAGTCAATGTATATACTAATTTATTTTCAGGGCTGGGTATTCAATGTTGTCCCCTGGGTGGTAACAATACCGAGTTCTATTTTCAGTGGTTGGCTAGCAGATATTATGATATGCAAAGGTAAGTTTACATATGTTGTTTTATTTTGATGTGCAGTCTTGTGTTTAGACTTTTTTTCCCCACTGTGCTAATATAAAGTATGTATGTATGTGTGTATATATATATATATATATATATATAAACACACACACACACACACACACACACTCATTTGAGTTTATTTGCCTGTATAAAAATATTTTGTATTGAGTGAAGTTATACTTCAAACCCAAGTCACAGTCTTTTTGTCTGGAGTGCCAGCATTATTTCTAAAATGGTTTTCCAAACTTTTTTTTTTAATTATTTCACCCCCAAGCAAAGCAATAAAGCCACTAAAATTCAAGAAGTTACTGAATGTTAGAGAATATGAGGAAAAAAAAAACAACCAAAAAACAAAGATTAAGGTGAAAGGACAATAAAAGAACAGGAATTAAGAAGACAAGATAACAATTGACATAAGATTTTTGAAGATCAAAGTTGACTGGGAAGCAAAAATCCAGAAGAAAGCTCCACAAGTGAGGAATGCAATAGAAGAAACAGTTAGCATAGAAGCCATGGTTATATCTTGCCATTTCAACTGTAAGATAATGAGACCTTGCCACCAATCTTACTATGCTTAAATTCATAAAGTTCATCAGAACAATTACAATGTTAATATTTTAAATCTACATTGAAACTTACAATTTTTTTTGCTTAATCATTTTCTTCTACTTTTTCAGGTTATACAGTTACATTTGTAAGAAAATTTATGGAAGTAAGTTATTTTCTTTGATTCCAAGTTGAATTTGAAATTGCTTACTTTTCATTGATATTCATGTATTTGAATTTTATTTTCTTCTTTTTCTTTCAGACAATAGCTTTATGTGGTAGTGCATTATTTCTCATGCTGATTAGTTATACATCCAGTTATGAAGCATCCCTATTTTGCCTGGCTTGTGCTGTGGCTTGCTGTGGTTTCCATGGCAGTGGCATTCTCATAAACCCACAGGACATTGCACCGAAACATGCAGGATCAGTATTTGGTATGTCCGTTTGAATCCTTCTTTTATTTTCCTAAGAAAAGAATCTTCTTTTGTAGGGACCGAAACTGAATTTTATTCAATTTGCTTGGCTTTTAGCTGCTTGTCATTCAGATTTGAAAACACCGAGAACTTTTAAATGTCACTGCTTGTTCTATTGAATCGGAGCAAATGAAAAATGTCTTGATCATGGATTGGAAGCATGCAGCAAAATGTTTACTGAAGTCTCTGTCCATCCCTCCATCAGGATAGAATTAAAAAATAATTCTATTCATTGCACCCCTCCCTCCTCCTTTTCAACATAAAAAAAAAAAAAACTCTGTAAACCAGGTCTCAAGGCTCTCTTAAATTCCTTGGCTTCAGCAACCAAATGGATGTGTGGGTGGTGTAATGGATGACAGAAATCTGAGAGCAGAGTTCAACTTTCAGTTCACTTCGTTACATTGACTTACATACAAATACCTTTGGGAAATGTATGAATCCAGTTCTTCTCCCTCCAGCTATGGGTCTAGTAATGCGTACCTGGAAAATAAAATCCTCTTTTTAACATAAAATGTTAATGCAATATTCACTTGCAAATACGAACAGTGCCATGAACAATAAATTCCCAATTTCTCAGGACAGGCATCTGAAGAGGGATAATAGCAAAATATAAAAATTGTCTTACCTCCCATCCACACACAAGCTTTGTTCTATTTGCCAAATTACAGCACTATTACATGCTCATCATTTTTTTTTTTTTCAAAATAGAGCACTCTATTTTATATATTTATATATATATATATATATATATATATATATATATATATATATATATATATATATCACACACACACACACGTCTAACAACCTCAAAAACAGTATTTAAAAATAAAAAAAAAATTGTTTGGTAAGTGGGTTTGAGCTCCAAACCTTTCAGCATCCCATATAGATATACAATGATGGAAAATAAAAATTGTAATATTCTGAATCTCATGTTAAATGAAAGGTCGGTTCTTCATGGCGTAAATCTTTTCAAATTGACTAACTTTGGCATCATCCTGGACAAACAGCATATCACCTTCATTGTACAGGCTTCTTATTCAACATTTTTATTGCTCTCCAGGTGTATGCAGAACCTGCTCTCATCACCCCAGCAGATGTGTGTGATAGTATTGTGGAGACACACATGCCAGTACGTACTGCTGCATGAAAATGATTCCCCCCATCAGTCTATATTGACACTTGTGGGCTCACATTTGATTTAATAGTGAGCTGTCCTCACAATGCATTAATCTCAACGAGCATTTATACTGTAGCCTTCCAGAACCTGGTCTACAAGTGTAGGAATGTTCCTTTCACCACTGATATTACAGTGAATGTGCAGTAATTATCGAACATGCAATCTGAACACAAAACCTGCACATCTCTGTTGTATGACACTTACTTTTACTATACTGAACCTTACTATGCATACAGGATGCTATGATTATGTGGCTGAAGACTTTAAAGACTTGGTTGTTTTTTTACTTCTTACTACAATTTTTCTTTTTCTTTTTCCTCCCAGGCATTATGAACATGGCTGGTGCTATACCAGGTAAGTGAAAAATGAAATAAAATCTGAGTTTTGTTTGTATTTACTGACTATTCAGAGTGAATGTTTTTCACATTGTCTATTTTCTACTCTTCAGGCTTTGTTGGAGTGTACATTGCAGGACATATATTAGAGGCCACCAAGAGCTGGGGAGCAGTATTCAGTCAAACGGCCGTAGTGTGTATTGTTGGCTGGATTGTCTATGTCATTTTTGGAACTGGCCAAGCAATTATCTGAGAGACTAAAAGTAGAGACAACAAAATGAAATGGGAAGAAAAAAAAAAAAAAAAAAGTAAAACCTAACTTTCTTGTGCTTTTTTTGCAGCACAATGGGGACCAGAACAAGATGTTCTCCAGATCCACTGAATTGCTCGAGACTTGGTCATTGACCTGTTCAGTCATGTGGTCCGGTTAACAACAAAAAAAAAACTCCGGGGGAGGGTGGGTATTGTGGGTAGGTGGTTGGATGGGTAGGCGACAATTCTTAAATAAAAGGATTTTATTACTAGGGGACATTATAAATATGTTCCCATTTGGCTGATCAGTAAAATTAAGACTTTTTCCTTCTTCCCTCTTCTTGCAGCTTAAAAAAAAAAATACCCAATATTCTATTTTATTTTAAAAGGAAAAAAAAAAAAAAGAAATGGAACCTGAACATTTGTTAGAGATTGCTGAAAAAAAAAAAAAAAAAAGAAACTGTATTTTTAAAAATGTTTTACAGATTCACAATTTTTGTTTTCTTTCTTTAAAGAGCTTGTGTAAGACTGAGTGCAATATAGATGTAATTGATGATTCCCCTTTGGTAGTTTTATAACTCCAGAAGAATGGCAATATTTTTTTTCAGATCTATAATTTGAAAAAAAACAAAAAATCTGTTTCTATTAGCCCTCGTCTTAGTAATAAACTATGCAAGCTATCTTTTAAAATAAAGAAATGTCAAAATCCGTGTTCTGGTTTATTTAAGGCAAATTCTTGCTCTTTAGGCCACAAATGAACTTTTTTTTTTTTTTTTTTTTGTTGTTGCTTGTTTTTGCTTTTAGACCAGGACACGAGACTTATACTATTCCACTATGTTTAACATATTAGAGGCTAGTAATGCTTTAATAATTCAAGATCAGAAACACAGCAAAAGAAAGAAAACTTGAATGTGAAAGTTCCAGAAAATATTACTTTCTTTCCCAAACCAGGCTTTATTACTGCTAGCTAATCTCACAAGCCATTGAATGAGGTTTGATTTCTCTTTACCTTCTTAAACCTAGCATAAGAAAAATAGTCTATTGCTAGCGTTTGATCCTTACTGGGTGCCTCAAGAGTGAGTTTCCTGCATAATAATTGCAGTGTTCAGTGTTCTTCTCTTGATGTGATGTGTGGAGCCTTGGATTCGTTGAAGTCTTAAGCTTAAAATATGAAACAGTCTCTAAAAAGAATCTGTTTTCATTTAAGTAGAGTCTGCATCTTGAAATAGGACCAACCTGTTTACTTGAATAAGAGTAAACAGTTGTTTATATGAAACGGGAGGGAGTGGAGGTCACTGAAGAATTCTAGAAACCTTCTCGTATAGTTTATAGGAAGTTCCATCCATACAGGAAAACCGGCGAATTTTGATGTTCAAGGGAGATAAATCTGTTACAGATTTCCGCATAACTGCTGTTATGTCCCTTGTTTTTACTGCGAGCACAAAAAGGTTATCAAAAACATTTTCTTCACTGCCGTCTTTTTTTTTCCTCTTTAAACGTTCAAGACGTGTATACGAAATAAATGTCACAAAATATTATCTACTTACAAACATGTGCCATTAAAAAGAATTAATAATTTAACTTACGTTTTTCAGTTTCTAACATCAAATAGAAATTTTAGGATTGCAAACGGACAAATAACCTGCAAAACCATAAGGAATTCTATTTGAAATAATAACTCGAAGATAGATAATTTAAAAACAAACTAGTGTGTTAGTACTGGTGAAATGTTGAGTGATTAATAAGTAAAGTGTCTTCTGGTCAGTACTAATCAAAGTAACTCTATTATTCAGATTTTGAGTTTGTGTTTTTTTTTTTGTATTTACTTTGATCTTCTCACACTGAGCCTCAGCATTGCTTGAAATTTCCTTTAATATTTCAGAACAGATCACTTAAGATTTTTTTTTTTTTTTTTTTTTTCTTTCTTGATATTTTATTAGCAAGGTAATGTGAGTCATTTATTTTAACCAGAAAAAAAAAACCCCAAAAAACTGGCAATAGTTGTTCTAGGTTGCCAAAGTAGTTATTTTCCTTAATTGAAAACCTCTCTCCATTTCACTAGTGTAAACGACAATAATATTTCTTAGCATCTACTATAGAGATTGGGTGTCACACTAAGCAATTCAGAGAGCAGCCTTTTCTGGATCATTTATTGGTGCTGGGCATCAAATAATCTGTTGGTGACACTAAGAAAAATAAGTTGAATTGGGGAAAATAAATCTGTAATTTTATTTATATATTTTAATGGTCTTCAACATTTTAGCTTTTGAAATTCTTTACATGGATGACTGTTGTAATTCTATTAATAGCTCCTTTTTTTTTTTTCTCTTTCTTTTTTTTTTTAAACTAAAATTTTGTAATTATCTTTAATTTTTGACGCTTTGTTCCAATGCATGATGAAGATAGATTAAAAAAAAAAATACTGCATCTGACAATATTCAAACATTAACCTTTATTTATATATTAAAAAAAATCAAAAAGTTTTTTTTTTTTTTTTTTGTTGTTTTTTTTCTTCTTTAGCCTGGTTTTCTTATTTATTAAAAAAGGAAACAAAAGTAAAAATGTAAATACTGACTTGCCAAGATTTTATGTGTGAGTTTTTGAGAGTGTGTGTAAGTATACAAACATATGAGGATGTCTGAGTTTTTCTCTCTCCCCTTCCCCATAACCTACCTATCAATCTACCTATCTATGTATGTATTGAAATAGTCATATTGGCAAACTTTGAACAAAAACAAACAAATGTATTACAGTGACTACTAAATCATTTACAAACCTTAAAAGTGTCTGTTTTATATTTATTGTATTTTGTTATCTTATAATAATGCAAGCAGGCATAAATTTATTTATTTATTTATTTTTTTTTTTTTTTTTAAGAAAATATTTTAAATGAGCAAATATTGGTTTTGGTCAATTTCATCATTTCTTTGATTTATTGTTGTTGCTTTCATTTTGTTTTTCAGCAATCTTTTAGTTTTTTGATTACATGCCTACAGAACATGTCCTTAAAACACATTTATTTTCTAAGCAATCTTTTTTTCTATTTCTTATTTTTATAAATTTTGGAATGAGATATTATTATTATTATTATGCTTGTCTTTGTTGTTCTTACAGGTAATTGAACTTCTTATTTAATTTAAGGGGGTAGCATCTTTTCATTTCTCTGTCCATGTCCAAGGGTGGATTAGTTGATTGATTTATTGACAGCTCCATTTTCATTGAGTCTGAGATCAATCCCAGAGTCAGGTACTACCAATATAGACATTAGTCCAAATGTAAATAATGTTATCTTTGTTGAATGCCATTATAGAAATTGGGTCTTTAACCAAAGGGGGGGGGGAATACAATATCATCAAATATGGGTAAATTGGTTTATATGGAACAAAATAGTATTGGCAATCTTCTTTCTTGCTGCTTTTTATTTATTTATTTTCTTTTAATACCATATCCCTTCCCTTATTATCTGGGAATTTTGGAATGATAGTGGAATTATTTTCTGTTGTCTTCTCCACAATTTGGAATTCAGTTCTCCTTCTCTTAGACTGGTTGTCACCCAAAGTTAAAGAGCCCAGTTGAACCTGCTACTTAGGATAAGGCACAGATTTGTTTATACAAAAGTGAACACAATAGACGAGCTCAGAACTTGAACTTGGCAATTGGTTAGACTGCAATACCTGTTTAGATTCCCCTCCCATCAATGTAGATGCAATATTCAAAGGACTTTGTACTACATTTTAAATTAATTTTTCTGTCCAGATCATAAGTAGGCATTAAATTTAGCTTAGTATTTTTATATTGCATCATTTTTCTTTTTAACTTTCAATCAATCTGTAACTCATATAGAAAAATCAGTTATTAAAGGTGTGATGATATATTTCATCTTTGTTGGGTGCATTCTTTTCAATCAAAATTAAATCTCTTCAACTTTTCATTTTCTTGGCAAGGCAAGATTTTTTTTAGTGTTTAATTACATACATACAGGGAACTGTAGTGTAAATATTAAATACAACAAATTCATAAATTTGTTTTGTGAAAATGTCCATCTTCGTTTTGGCTTTCCACTGTTGAGTGGGATTTCAAACGTAGAGGTTCCGGATGTCTCAGTAATCTCCCTTTAACTCAACTCTCCAAGTTGTTGTTGTTTTGTCTTTTTTTTTTGTTCACCTGTAGCCAGTTGTTGAACTTGAAAGTTTATCCACTGTGCCATGTGTCCTTGAGAACATCAGTATATGAATTTTTGTGACTTATAAACCAAACGTCTTAGTATTCATTTTTTTTTTTTTATTACTAGAGCTCATATTACATTTTTATTTTTTTTCTGTAGTACTTCATATTACTGGTTCCCATATTGTATTCATTTCTATGCTTGGCCAGTTTAGATGATTTTGGTGGCCTAGCATATGTACTCATTCCTTAAGTTTTTGTATTTTCTAGTTATGTTCTCTATTATCTCAACCTTATTCCACAGGATGATCCATGTGGTAAGTTAGGCCTGATTTTTCTATTTCCCCTCTTGTTACAGCTTTACACTGCTCCTGCAATGTTATCTTAAGAGGGCAGCCTGTTTCTCCTTTATATGTCTTACCACACCTGCAGGGGATGGTGTACACAGTCCTTAATCATATTCTCCTCTAGGGGAGGGTCTTTTTTCGGAAGAGGTGTCTGCAGAGTTGATGGTTGTCCCGATGTTATCTGGACCACAGATCTTTTGTATTTTTTCCGATAATCTCTTCACATAGAAAACCACTTCAGTCAGCCTACCATGAGAGTTGTTATCCTCTTGTACCCATCTATCCCAGTTTGCTGGGGCTGCTGCCATGTATCCAAAGTAGTTGTTACATTGTAGGGTACTGCTTATACTGGCCATATGTCTCTGGGTTGCCACTTACGACTTGAATGCATGCACTGTTCAAGATCTTAGTTTCTGTACACAAACAACACAATGGGATCAGACATATATCAGCAGGATGAAGGCTTAGCAATAGGCTTGCCCTTATCACC